TGCATAGAGCGTGTGTCAATGGTTGAACACAATGTAAAAGGCTTTTGAGTGGTAAGCGAAAAGCCAGACCAGTAAATACCAGTCCATTTAGCTGGTGAGAAAACTCACTCGGAACATCCTCCACGCTGACGCAGAGGGTGCAGAGAAAAATGTTAGTGGGCTTTCAACCTGTGAGGATCATGTCTGCACAAAATGTCATGGCACACTGACTAAAAGATTGTGAGATCTCTTTCTGGAGAACGACCATGAATCATCTTTGAATCATCTCTCTAGGACAACTAAAACTTAACTACCAGATGAAATCAGTGGAAATTCATAAATATTCTGACTTGCTTGTGAAAACACATTTTTCCATTACAAATCTCATTAAGTACACATTATGGAAGAGTAAACACCTCCCTACATAATGCTGAGAGCATTTTCCTGCACTGAGCTATCTCGGTGCTCTGATTTGTTGCTGCTGGTCTTTATTTACTCGCTGTCCTGTTTACACATCTGTGCTGGTGGATTTATGACGGCAGTCTCAGGGGATCTATTGATTGCCTTTCTAACTTGTAGTGTAGATCTGTGTTGTATCAATAACGTCAGTCACATGGCGCTGCTCTTGGAGACCAAGAACTGATGTCTGCAGTCAGGGGTGGAAAGATAGTTAAATCATTCAGTATATGGTTGCTCAGCCTAAAATGTGAATAACCTTTCTGTTTTAGTGGCAGAGCTACTAACGTGCTTCTCAGTGGAGAATAAATATTGTATTGAACCAGAGCATCTGTCGTTTTGTGGGGAGCAGACATGTGAAAAGATTGCTTGTCTCTCTGGAGCCTTTTCATCCATTTGTTTGACTTTCTTACATTATTCATTCATTTTTTTCCTTCTTTTTTTCAGCAGAATCAGAATGTTCTCAGTTTGTTTTATTCGATATATGACAACAACAATAATAATATAAATGATAATCATGGCACCCATCACAGCAATATTTGGACACCGAGGGTCTCTTTCGTCTTTTATTTAATCCTCAGTTTGAAAACAGCCACAAGAGCCTCACAGTAATCGGAACTGGTTTATATGGTCAGTGTTTTCCATCAGACTTGGACGTGCTTTAAAACTGAACAGTGAAACTTTTTGTGGCTAAAATATAAAATAACAAGTCGAGCTTCTCAAGGGTTGACTGTTCAATCAAGCCTTGAAAAAAATAACTATGTATATAACTTTTTTCAAAATGTGAGATAGCCACTTTGTTAGGTACACCTTCATAGTACTGGGGTGAACCCCCTTCTGAAGCAGAAGCTATCTCCTCTTCCAACACAGGTTCTCTATTGGATTGAGAGCAGCTAAGCATTTGAGCAGTGCACAGTGTATTCTTTGTTATGTACTGTATATAAAACACAGTTTGAGACCTTCCTGCTGTCAGAAGATGGGTACACTGTGGTAATAAAGGAATGGACATGGTAAGCAACAATACTCAAGTAGGCTGTGAGGTTTAAATGATGGTCAGTTGGTACTAAGGGGCTCAAAGTGTGGCAAGAAAATATCTCCCACACAATTACACTGCAGGCCTGAACATCGATACAAGAGGAGTGGCACTGCGCTTCTGCTGTAGCTCATCTGCTTGAAGGTTCAGCATGTTTCAAGTTTTATTTGTCATGTACAGGTAAAATGGCACATTACTACTGGAAATGAAATTCTTGGGTTCAGAGCACTCTCAATATCGCACATAAAAAGGTAAGTAAGTAACACTTGGATAAAAATAAGATGAGGTATATAAATAAAGAAAAAAATATAACAGAATAAAATAAATAAATACAGATTACTAAAACTACTGTAGGCTCTCGTGTAGAGGTGTAGACTGATTGTACAAAATAAACTGCCCAGTGTTTCAGTAGTTCAGTAGACTGATGGCTCGTGGGTAGAAACTGTCCCTGAATCTGCTGGTGCGGGTCTTTATGCTTCTGCCAATACAGGAGCATCCAGAGTGTAAGATCAGTGCATTCATGTTGTGCCTACAGACATGCTCTTCTGCATATCTTGGTTGCTTGAGTTGCAGTTACCTTCCTCTCAGCTCAAAGCAGTCTGACTATAATAATTGCAGCTCACTGAATAGTTTCTCTTTTTCAGACCATTCTCTGTAAACCCTAGACACACTTGTGTGGAAAAATCACAGTGGATCAGCAGTTTCAGAAATACTGAGACCAGCGTGTCTGGTACCAACAACATTCAAAGTCACTTACATCACCCTTCATGCCCCATTCTGATGCTCAGTTTGAACCACATGGTTGTGTTGACCATGTCTACATTGCTGACATGTGATTGGCTTTTAGATGTATGTGTTAATGAACCTTTTCACAGGTTTACCCAATCAAGTGGCTGGTAAGTGTATTATTACTACTCAAATGTATTTAGAGTGCTGCAGGATAGTAGATATCTGTTACTGCTACATTGTTTCAGTCGCTGGTTTTTCCCTCGTCTATAATTTGATTCTGTTTTTGGGTGTTTTGCTTCCATTTCATTAGTTTTTTGTCCATTAGTGGCATTTTTTTTTCCTTCTATAGATCTGAGGCTTTAAAGTTTTTCCATTACCACATGGTCTAGCTCGTCCCACATGGAGCAACAGTACTAGAAGATAAAAATATCTGTATCCACTTTTGAAATGCTATTCTCCCTGAAAGGCTCAACACTGACATGAAAGTCAAACCACAGCTTTCTAAGTCAAAGAGGTGAAAGGATATATGTCAGTGTGGGCGCCAGAAGAGAGGAAAATACTCAGAGTATAGAATATCAGTCATCGGGGCTCAAAGTAAACGAAATCGTACCATGTTTCTTCTGGACTGTTTAGATTTCATTGTAAAAAATGAAGCCTAATGTTAACCAAGACGACATAAACGGAAAAGCAGATAGAAGAGAAGCAGCATTTAACAGTAACATAGTTGTGGGGGGAAAATACCCCTGCCATACTCAAATAGTGGGTTTGTTACAGAAATGCAATCTTTTTTAACAATATGTTACATGAACACTCTGTGGCCAGAGGCTTGGTGGTTTATGATAATAGTGAGGAAAAAAGAAAGAAAGGGGGAAAAAAGCACCCTTTGGTGTGTGAAGAATATCAGCTATAGGCACAAAGGCCTTTTCTCTGCTGTTTATAAGAGAGACAAGAATGAAGCGAGCAGAATTGATTTAAAAGATACAATCCATGATTTATTACAGAAAAGAGTGATATCCAAATTAGTTTATGTTACATTGTTTCTTTTTTTACATGTAAACAGGAACAAAGTAAACAATGTTATTGATACACTTCATGTCACGACTGCTATCGTCCTATTATACAAATAAATCTACGGGCTTACGTCACTGTGCTTCAAGTACATCATTGCTCAAGCACAATCCTATTAGGAGGCATAGAACAGAAAGCTTAATCCCCCTCCAGACTGCTATATTTTCAGAGATGTGCAAGGTCACGCTATTATTACTTATTATACAATACCCAGATTGTGCTATTGCCAACAGTAGAAAGCATGAGAGACACCTTTCCACCACTGTACAGCATTAGTATCAGTGAGGTGAACTGATGAAGATCCACCCAGAAACGATTAGTAACTGGGCAAGCCAAACATCCAAGGTCATGTAATTTTTCATTCATAAAGTGCCCCTATTCCCTTCGGTTAAATGCTTCAGCTGTTAGAGTGTAAGCGTGATTATATGTCCAAGCGGAGGAAGTCTGAGGTTTCACATGTTTTATCAGACTCTGCGTAAAATTCCCGGACATATTTTTTAAATGAATCAGTCTGGAGATCATGCTGTTATTTTAGAAAATACTGCACCAGTATAAAATCCTGCCACATCTAGAAACACACCGGTCCTTCCAGAAACGATCAACACTAAAAAAAACAGGGAAGTGATATGTTTAAGATGCAACTTTACAGAAGTTAGCTCTGCTCAAAGCAGTAGTTAAGTCATGCATACTCCACAGCACAAATGTACCAGTACATTTATGACTGTTCAAAATAAACATAGCATTCAAGGATAACAACATGCATAGATTTTAGGTGTTCACATAGCAGGGAGGATACTCTGAAAACACTGACTACTTTCCTAAGTATTGGAATAAGATTTGAAAGCAAATATCTCTCTCTCTGGTGAATGAAATCGTGAATTGTTGGACTGAATGTGACCCGAAAGGAGTTTTTTGACCAACAACCTGGAAAAAAAAAAAAAAAGCCAACTAAATGAAGTATGTGAGTGCGTTCCATGATCTTTGATCTGCTCTAACATACAGCAAAATAATAAAAAAAACAAAACATGCTTATTATTGTGAGTGCGCATTTGAGTCATGCAAAAACATGGCAGTGCAAAAATATATATCTAAAAAAAGCAGAATACCTTTGATTGCATCTTAGAAAATATGATAAAAAAGTTGATCATTGCAGACATTCAGAGGACACCTGAGACAAGTGGACGTAACGTTTTCTATCTGAGGGTGAGAACGAGTGAACTTGCACGTGATAGCGCAAAATCAAATGTATAAAAACATTACGTATTTCATTAAATGTATATACAAAAAACAGGCAAAGTAAAATAAAGAAAGGAGGACAATCCTTGCAAAATGAAGAATGTTGTCATTGTTGTGCAATGCATTCAGGGTAGAAATTTTCCCTTCAGATGTTAGATTGGTGCAGCTTTTACCTTTACAGTGCATAACATTTTTACATTTAACACCACATGATCAATATGATGCATTTAAGTGTTTGAAGTCCCCATCTCAGTTCACATCACACACCCTTTAACTCTTAAACTCAACAGCACAGAGAAAGGAAATTATCCCGACTCAACCTCGCAGGTCCAACTATACCTGCCACGATGCCTATTTTCCTGAGTTCATTAGGCAAAAACACACTTCTCTAATCCATGACATCAAATCTGATCACAATATAAAAAAAAGGCAATGTCACCAGTCTGCAACTGAATAAACTCTCGCGTCCGTTTGATCAAAGATCAGACAGCTGCTGAAACCGTGTGTCTCACTGTGTGTTTAATAAAAGTCTGCAACAGAAGCTTGTAGCGTATTATGCGAGCGAAGAACAGTGGATAGAAGTTCGTTTCAAAACTGAACATCCAAGCCACAGGTATTTCTAAGTGATCCAAGTTTTCAACCACGCTTTGGGGCTTCCAGCAGCAAATGAAAACCAGACTGCGAGGGTCAGAGCGGAAGAGCAGATTTGTGGATCCTGCATGCGAGCGTACACGTTATGTTAGGGCGTGCGCTGCTGACGTCAGCCGAGATCCGAGTAGGTACACTGCGGCGTGACTCATGTCCAAAACAAATCCTAAACGGAGAGTTCAGAGAGTCTGCTGCAGATCAGGACAACAGGATGAGGAGAGAGAATATTTCTTGCACTTCAAAGAAAAACAAAAAAAAGCACGTGCTGCACAACACAGGCACACGTGATGTTCGGTGACACAAACTGTGGTACGCGGCCATGTTGTTACACTGTAGGCACAGTCAAATTGCACAGAGTTCACATTTCCTCAACTCGAGACAGTCAAGCTCAGCGGTAGCACAGAGATTAACACACAGCTCACACTGAGTACAGACACATGTGAACCAGGCCTCGTGACAGGAAGTTTGTCTATCGAAAAGGTACAAAGCAGGATTACCATGCACTTCTTGTGATGTCTGAGGGAATACTTTGTCAGATGTACTAAATGGATGCTAACATCCTTTACAAGGAGTGCTTTTCAGTTTTGTTTTGTTTGTTTTTTTTCCTTTGCAAATATTAATCAGCATGCTTCAACAGCAAATATACATTTAGGAAGCAAGAACAGAGTCATTCTTATTTGGTAGCCACATCACCAGAATCACTTTGCAACAATAAAAATGCCACTGTAGTTCTGTCACACAGAAGTGGCTCTGCTGATGTTCACGAAGGGTTGGGGCGGTGGCGGGGGAGGGGATACACGGCCATGCTGCGAGCTGCACTGGACTGCAGAGTCAAAGCAAAGTGGTAGCTGCCACACGGAGAGAGAGAGAGTGCAGGATGGGACAGTGAACAGTGCTGATCTGCAGCCCTTGATCTGCATAGTAAACATTACAATTGCAAAGTTGTTGTTTTTTTTTTCCCCAGCTAAGCCACAATGCAGCACAGACCCAAGGGCACCCTGTTGGGTGAAGCCAGGTAAGGGATGAGGGCGGAGGCAGAAAGGGTCAGAGCCAGAAACCGGGAGGTGGAACAGATGGCAAGGGAGTGGCCAGTGCCAGATCTGGAGAGGATCTCGAGAGGGTGTCTTTGGTGTACAGAATCAGCCATCAGTGAAGCTAGACTCTAAAAGCTAACACATAAATAAGCAGGCAGGGGAGGTGGAGCTTGTGAGCTGAGGATCGCGTAGCGGAGACAGGGTGAGGGGATTTAAGCTAAGGCCACTCGTGGTGATAACGCTTCCCATTCTTCTTCCTCTCCTTCTGCAGATGCTCGAGTTCTGCTTCATACATCATCTCTTGCATCAGGTACTTTTCCCTCCTCATGCGATCGCAGAGATCCTTCGGCATGTCTGGAATGAGGTACGCTATGAAGGACTTGATCCCAAACACCAGGTGCTGAGGGAAGATTAAATTATTCATAAGTCAACATCCAGAGAAATCACGTGCTTTAGATGCCAATTTTGTTTTGGTATTAGTGGCGCATGCAAGAGTAAAAGTAAACCCAAGGAACTTCATATGCCCTTCTATCTTTTATATGTAGTGTAGTGTAGAATGTGCAAGGCAGTGTTGTCAAGGGAATATCTTGCATGGCAACCATGTAATTTGTGATGGTTTTTATTTTATTTTTTTCGAATGGTAGAATTTTCTCAGCCTTCTCCAGGACCTTGATTTAATTAACCCATGAAAATCACTTAAATTGCTGCTGTGAGGTTTCGGTTTCAGTCTCAGCACATAAAATAATTAAAATAAAACATTTGCAAAGCTACAAAAATATTGAGGCTGACTCAAAGTGGCACAGCGTAAGAGGATTTAGCTTCAGCTGCTTGTCCTGCTTGTAAACATACAGAAGAGAAATGGCCAATGGTTACAAACCTCAAAGACGATGATGAATGCCAGCCTGGCAGCCAAGACATGCCAGAACTGCAGAGTGAATTCGTATGGCACTGTGTTCCAGGGCGGCGCTCGGTAGTCTCTATACCTGCAGTATCCCGAGTGGTTTCTGTTATTCAGCTCACCCATGTCAAACACGGACAGGCTGCTGTTCACGTAGCCTTGCAAACACCTGCGAAAGCAGACGGCCATCACGTAAAACGCATAGGCTACATACAGGGCACTTAAAGGTTACACGCTGTTTTTAAGGCTTACTCATTGCCATGGTGGTGCCTCTTGTTCACACATGGGCCATATTTGAAGGCGTAAACAAAGCGGGGGATATAGTCTGAGGTTATGGCAATGACGAAGGCGTTAGTGATGACTGCCAGCACACCAATACCTTCGAGAATCCCGTGCCAGATCCCTGACAGACAAAACAAAGAAGAAAGAAAAACAGCTGGTATGTTGGTTTAAACCTGGGTGCCTTTATCTGCAATGGCTGACATGACCAGCATACCGTATTTTGCTTTATAAAACACAGACTACATCAAATACTGTAGGCACCGATAAATTGATATGCTGATTAAACATTCATGCAGTGAATATGAGAATGCAGCTGATAGATTTATAATAATAAGGACGAGGCCATCTTATTCAGTTGTTCTTGCTCCCTTTTTAACCAATAAACTAAAGTTTAAATTGCAGTAAATTTATAGGTTGCACAGGTTTTTGTTTAAAGCTTCTCCCGGGGTGAACAATCCTGCTCCTTCTCCACCTACCGATTGTGCGCATAGTAAGCGTCATCTAATTGGCTCGCTTCTGATCAGAGAAACTGAAGGTGTGACAAGACTCCATATTAGTGATAAGGTCACAAATAACAGAAATGAACCTTTTATGGTCACAGTTGTTAGCAGTTCCTGACATGTGTAGCTCAAGCTCTATAAGTAACAATTTTCAAGATGCCATTTTCACTTCACTGCACTCAATTTACTTCTGCCTTAGTTAATAATGTCCCCGAATGCGATTGAATAGCTTCCGGTAATGGAGCATATTGAATTACACAAAATGTTTTGTTTTGTGGCAGTTGAATGAAGACAGAGACAGTAGATAAAAAGGATCTCTCCTCCTTATCTGCCTTAGATCTGTCTGTGGATGATCAGGAAATGTCAGCCTAACTCTTCAAAGGAGCTTAGCTTGCTGTGTGACTGACACATAATGTGTTCATTACAGCGGAGGAATTTCTAAATGTTTCAGGGTGGATTCCTCCTTTAATTACAAGGAAACATGCCACATGAATCACTGGGTCATATGGCAGTTTAAGGATGCAGTTTGTAATCGTATGGGGAGATGGGCTGATGAGAGGGGAGGTGCAGCATATGGAGTTGCAGAAGGACAGGATATGGAAACATATCCATCACTGTAGGAGAGGTCATGTTAAACTAACACAACATTTTACTGCTGGAAGAAAAAACAATAATTAAAAGTGACTCTGATCCAAGAAGATGTCGTGTGAGCCGCACAGACCTATATCAGTGGCTCGAGCAGGCATGGGTCTCCTCCACTGAGTGACAAATTTGTAGGCGTCAAGACGAATCTCAATGATGTTGTTGAGCAGAGCGAGGAGAGGAGCCAGCGGGAAAGCTGCTACAAAGATGGTGGTGAAGCCAAACTGAAGAACTGCAGCGGAAAGAATCATTCGGATGTCAACACTGGCACGAAAAAAAAAAAATGCTGAGGTTTGAATAATAGCCTGCATTTGCATGGATTATTTCCTTCTCCAGAAAGTCAAAACACAATTCTTAGTAGGAGTGCATTTTTTACCCATTTCGAGATATTCATCCACAAGCCCATGGGCGTTCATCGGCTGCAGATTCCAGTCCTTGTCCCACTGAGGAAGCTGGGCCTTATTCTCTACATTCTGCCCTCCACCACCTCCTTTCTTCATCTTTCTACGAGACCACCAGTTCTGCAGCAGACTGAAAACATAGAGAGTAGCGATAAACCCTGGCAAAGCACTGTGCTCTGCAAGAACTGTTTTACTGAGCCACATGCGAGAGGATTTGATGTGCTTCTTCAGGAGAAAAATCTTTTCACATGCAAATGAGCTGAAAGAGGAAAAGCCATGCAGAAACTACATACGGCCTGTTAATTGCCATCACTTGAATTCACGTCATTAAGCTTCATGTCATTTCTAATAGTTCATAGACAAGAAGGCGTGCGATTATAATGAGGCACTTACGGATAACCGAGCTCCATGAAGTTGTTCCAGATTTGCTTGAAGAACATGATGACTCCCATTTGCAGACACAGATCAATCAAACACCCACTTGGGTGACACTGAGAAAAATAGATTTCAATGAAAAATAATAATAATACAAAAACCGTATCATTCATATTTCGTGCCTAATAATTCAGAGCTAGGAGCAAACTCTGGGACACACTTGATCCGATTCCATTTTTTTAATCATTAAAATTGAAAATCACAGTAATTATGTGGTGAGATTAATGGTTCACATGCAGGCGGATCATTAGAAAGATGAATTACTCGAAATTTCTAAATATATCCCAAAACAGAAGGCACTAATCAGCCCAGTCACTGCTGACATAATCACCTACTTACGTTTGATGGCTAATTGCACTCACCTCCTCCAATCTCCATCGACTAAAGAGTTTATTGTATTTTCCAGGCCTGCCAGCAAACCTGATCAAATTAAGACGGCCAACATTAGCTGTTGATTCAATCAATGTAATAATAATAATAATAATAATAATAAACTTAGAGTAGAAAAAAAAGACACTTAGAGGTGCTAATTATGTGCAACAATCCGTGACCTAGTTACACTTGTAGGCAGGGCAGCATTTTGTAACTGCTGAAAGATGAAACACCCAAAAAACACGATTTCCCCGGCTGAGGAGGGGAAGGGAAGGAGTCTTGGCTTGGTCATGACTGGGAGTTTGAAAGGAAACATCTTTGCACAATCCCTCAATAAAGTCGGTGTAAACAGTCACTGTAAAGTTTATGGCAGTTTGCCTACCTTCCAAGGAAGAAGGCGATATAAAACGTGGAGCTGTTTAAATTCACAAACTGGAACAGAAACATCTTCAGAGCAAAGCTGTTCTCCCACTCAGACTCCGTCCGTGGGTGCTCTAAAAGGGGAGGGACAGGGGTTTGTTAGGCAGATGGGTGAAGAGAATAAATAATGTTCAACCAGCTGGGAAGCCAAAGATAATGAAGGCATAAATGCATGAAACACTCACCTAAATTAGTCAGCAGATAGGCCACCTTTTCATACACCTGACAAAATGATAGTACACATCAGTGTCAACAGGAAAAGGTTGAGGAGGGTAATGATTATGAGAAACAGAGGAAGGCTGGAATGAAAAAAAAGTCTTAAATAAGTGCTGAGTGAAGTATTTATGGGATAGAAAATGCGAACGTGGGATGTAGGATGATGCTCGTCCGGGCACCCACCACATTGAGAGACATGATGATCATAAAGTTGATGCAGACACCGGTGCCAGAGGTGGCGAACTGCCAGTTCTTCTTCACAAAATACCAGTTAAAGGAAGCAAACTTCTCCATCGCAATAAGGCGGAAAACCACTACAGCAAACACTGCTGTCAGAACAAGGGAAATCTAAGCAGAGGTGATGGAGAGAAGACAAGCACAGCAGAAAGGATGAAGAACCAGTACGATTAACAGGGTGAAAAAAAGTTTTGAATTTATCCTATAAGGAAGAAGTGTGCCATAAATATGAAAAAACTGTAAGTTTAGAAACATTGAACTATTTAGATGATAGATAATCAGAAGCAACTTATATGTAAACAGGAGAAATTAGGCCATGAGAAAGGGCTAATACACCATTTCCTTTGAGTATGGTCTTTGTCCAGCAGGGGGAGATGTTACACCACTGCAAACGCATCACACTGTTCTAATAAAGATGGCACACAAAATAACTGTGAGCTTACACCGAGCCCGATTCCCAAAAAGACAGATTATTCAAAGGTTAAAGGGTTTACCATGAAGAATATTCCGGACACAGACACCATGAGCCGACTAAGCTTGTCTGAGAAAGGCTGGAAAGGCTCGGGCTTGCCGGAGATGGGGTTAACTCTCTCCATCCTGGAGTACTTGGCTTCAAACTGTGGCCTCAGCTCCTCCTGATTAACAACACATATTCCAGCATTGTCTACTGAACTGTAGCTCTCTTACAGCATGAACACCTTAAAACTGTGAGGTAATCATATATTTGAGCATATGTCTAACATACCTCTTCCTCCTCCCAATCAATAAGATCCCAGTCATAAGTCAGTTCTGCCCTTCTTCTTTTCCAGAACTCAAGGAATACAGTGGCTGCAGAAGGGATCATGAATCAATCACGTTATTGATCATTTTTGATGTATACACTATAGCACAGCTAACTGCAAAGAGGAAGAGGCCATGCAGAAGCAAACAGCACATCATAGTCAGATATTCTGGGTGAAACAGGCTGCAGTGATGTGCACGGCCCAAGATGGAGACTGATTACAGTCATCAGTTCACACTCACACTGTGGATGTCAAGTTAAAGGAGACTGGCAACAGCAAATAGACTTTTTCTTGTTCAGTGCACATCCTCAAACTGTGTCTTTGTCGAGCAAGATCCATTTTGGGTTGAGAGACTTCTAAAGTAAAGCTTTTTGTGGGATGACTTCAGACTGGAGGCATTGTTTCCTTTGTGTCAGGCTCTGTTGTGACTTGAGGTAAAAAACAACGTCGGAAATGATGTTCTTTTTCTGTCAAGGCTTTTTATGTTTTCCGCCTTGAAAATGTGACAAATGTGTAACAGAGAAACGGGGGCTTTTATAAACGTGCACACAAAGGAATCATTTACATAAATCCACATGTTGGAAGAATTTGGCTTCAAAGTCAGTAAAAAACTGAAACTTTATCATGTATGATGGAAAACACAATGTAATTCTATACATTAAGATGCACAATTTGCTGGATTAAGACGCAATTGTTGCAGTTTTACCTCTGTTAACATCACAGTGGATTTTAAATAAAATAACTAAGACTGAACTGCAGACTTTCAGTTTTAATTCAAGTAGTTTAACAAAAGTGTTGCACTAACTGTTTAGGAAATGTAAAATATTTTAGACAGATGTCTCCATTTTCAGAGGCTCAAAATTAATTCTACAAACTAATGTAATTTGAAATATAAGGACTGTTTTTATTATTTTGGTGAAAATCCTGTACACTCAACGACTGCATGAAGTCTAGAACCCATGGACATCACGCAGGGTTGAGATGGGTCTCTCTGTCGTCAGTTTTGCATTCAGCAACTGAAAAGCGCCTCGGCTGGGTTGAGATCATGTCACCTATTTCGCCATTGAAGAATATCCTATTTTTATAAGTATTTGGCTGACTCTAGGCAGAGAGTACAGCCCTGCACACTTCACAGTTCATCCTGCTACTTCTACCTGCAGTCAGATCATCATGAAACACCAGTGTCCCAGTTCCAATTGCAGCCATACATGCACATGCCATAGCACTGCCTCTAACATGTTTGACAGATGTGGTATGCTTCAGATCATGAATTGTTTCTCTCCAGCTGTATAATTTTCTGTTCCCATCATTCTGGTACAAATTCATCTTTCAGGTTTCACCTGTCCAAATATTGTTTCCAAACTGTGAAGGCTCTTTTTTTAGATGTTTCCAAGTCTTTCGAGTCTAATCTGGCCTTCCTGATCTTGAGTGTAACTAGTGGTTTGCACTTGTTGTGGTTTGCACCTGTTGTAAACACTTTTATTTCCTTTTATGAAGGCATCTCTTGAGTGCAGATCTTGACAGTGATAGTCTTGCCTCGTTGACAGTATTCTTGGTTGGATGTTGAGAAGTTGTTTTTCTTAACTAAGGACAAAAAAAAGTCTGTCATCACTAGGAATGGGTACCGGTATCGGTTCTGACATAAACGGTAGTAAACAGACCGAAAAGCAGCGCACATTTCGGTGCTTTATTTCGGTGCTTTATTTCGGTGCTTTTCTTTCCTGAGCTGTGATACATTTTGGATTCTAGCCAATCATTTTACGTTTCCAATGATAGTAGGCGGGCCCAGGTACGTACGTTCTTTTAGAGCAGAGCTACAGAGTAAAAATGCCCAAGGCGAAGCGGTCAAAAGTCTGGCTGTACTTCACAGCAAAAGATGCAAACTCAGCAGCCTGCAACAAGTGCTTTAAGGTGATACTGTGCAAAGGAGGTAACTCCTCGAATCTGACGACGAACCTGGCGACCTATAGCCTTTTGTTAAAAGCCGAGAAATGCGCCGTATTTGATAGCTTGCTGCGAGACCTCACACCGTGCACATCTACTGCGGTGTGTGGTGCCTGTTATCGGACCCGGAGTTAGCAACATCCCCCAAAAACCCGAAAAGGAGAGTCCTGGCCCCTAGCCCTGCCAGTGTAGCAGAAATGATGACGGATGATGATGGCAGCAGCAGCCGTTCTTCTCTGCGTGAGTAGCTTAATGTTGTTCGTGTGTAATTTACGTTGAGTACGCTAACCGCGTGATTACATTAATGCACGTAAGGTGAACTAGCAAACACCGTCGTAGTTACACGAGGCTGTCTTCTTGTTTGATGGCAGATACTCCCTTCACCCTGGCCAAAAAGGCTAAAATGACCAAAGGAAAAGTGAAAAACAGCTAAAAATGAGAGGTTTTTGGACAAAGTTTGTGTTTTTTCCATTGATTAAGCACTGCTTCCAGCCAAGAGTGATACCATAAATCCCCTATAGCTGCAGAAAAGGCTAACATTGTTATCTTTTTACAAAAAAAACAGCTGCACATGAGAGGTTTTTGGACCAATTTTGTGTTCTCCATTCTTTAAGCACCGGTTCGAGCACCGTTTAAGCACCGGCACCGTTTCAGAAGTACCGGTTTGGTACTGGTATCGGATAAAACCTAAATGATACCCATCCCTAGTCATCACAGCCTTTAGTAGTCTTCTGGGGTCTTTCTTGTTATTTTGGTGTTGCTGAGCTGACAACACCATCTGTTCAAGTATGTAAGATTGTTGATTTGGCTGCTCCTGAAGTTTTTATGTCTTTTCAGTCCTCCCTCACTTGCCCTGAAATCTCATCTCATATTTAAGAAAGACAAAATACAATATTTTCGAATGAATTTTGAAAATTATTTGTCATGAAAGAACAAGAAAACCGATCTTGTCCAGTTTATATTGTAAAAATGAGCGATGCTTAATTCAGTGCTTTTGTTAAACCCCTTGAATTGAAGCTGAACGTTGGCTCTTCAATCACATCTCGATTGTTTGATTTAGAAGCCACTGTGCTGTAGTGCAGAGGCAAAACTACACAAATTGTGTCTTTGTCCAAAATATTATTGACCTCACTGTAGCAGTGATACAGTTTGTGTATTAGTTTGCATTAGATATGCACACAATGTGGTTTTTATAACAGATTTCCAATAAAATATATAAATATGTGGTTGGTTCTTTGTAGCCTCACAATGGCTCTCATTTATCTATTAAAATGTTTTATCCTTGGGGATTTTTTTAAACCTCATGTGGTTTGTTTTGCTTTTTTTCCGGCACTGTTTTAACTCAAATTATTAAAAGCCTGCAGATTAATAAGTGATAAATCAAGCAAACAAAGCAACCAAACAAGTGATATATTTTCTGTGAACTTATTTAATGTAGAGTAAAATGAGAAAGACCAGAGGCAAAAAATGCACCAGAGTTTGAATCCTCAGAACAACTTTAGCCGCTCGTAAAGATGTTGAAGTTTAATATAGCTTGACCCACTTTTGTTTAAAGAGAGAGAAAAGCGGCCTTCTCTGATGCCTACATTCAATCCCTTGGGCTAACCAATTTTTCATGTCTATCTCACACACACTCACTAACACTAACTCCAGACTTTGAGTGCACTCACTCAGTGGTGCAGTGCTGCTAACTTTGGTCCAGATAGCCAAAAGCTTTTATGCAGGATTTGGAGCTACAGACCTCAGTTAGTGCAACTGTGTGGACATTCTTTGGCTTTTGAGCTCTCATTATCCTTCACTTAGTCCAAATAAAGAACAAATTGTGTCAATTGCTCCCTCTGGCACAAGTGATTATTTACCTCCTTGACAGATAGATGGATCTGGGCCAGCCGATGCACTCTAATGCTCACACTTCACGTTACAAAGTTATTATAGCTGTGGGAAACGTAGCTGCAATATATGAATATCACGGTGCAATTCTACAACCTTGACAGCCGAGTGATATTCTGCCCCTGGAGAAATCTTTAATTATCAAACTAATTACATCAGAACTGCACTGGAAGTACAAGTGTGGAGTCAGAGAAGGCGGACTGAGATTTACTTACTGAAAAACACATTACAGACTGACGATCTCTTGTTTGTCTTGTTTGTGTACTGCAGAGTGTCTTGTGGACTAAATTCTCAGTTGAAAAACTTAATACGTTTGGGAGAGATGAGTGGTGAGTGGAAACACAAGCACTCGAGTATAAATAGAATCAAATTCCAGTAGGGTTGGTATCAGGCAGAGAACAAAGCTTATGTGGAACAACAAGAAAAAGCCACCAACACAAACTGCTTCTACGCACCCCAAATAGCCATGAAGATAGCGAAGAATACAGTGCCACCGTTGTCAAACAGATAGGTCACCTAGAAGCACAAGCACACGGAGCGCTGCTCTTAAAAACACAAAAGTGAAACAGAATACATTATCAATATCCACAGCCCCAATTTTACCCAAAAAGATCTCCAGGCTCTCTGACAATCAACATTTTTGAGTTCAGGTCCCAACGCAGGAGATTTGTTAAAGAAATCATGGTTTTAAAATAGCATCAACTGCCTATAATAATGATCGTACAGCTACAGCTACCAACTGATTAGCTTAGCTTGGCATGCAGACTGGAAGCAGGTGGAAACAGCTCACTGGTTATTGTCAAGTGGGAATAAATCCACCTAATACTTACTAAAAAAAGACCTAATTTATTTAATCAACATTAAAAAAGTCAAATAAAATAATAAACCTAAGGTTTCACCTGAAGAACCAGGTTCACTGTGCCCCCGTTTCTAGTCTAGATACATGTCTGCTGGCATCTTTGTAACAGTTTTGAGAAACTCTAAGATCATGTAATGTTGTGCATATGGAGAAATACCAAAGCTGCACTGACCTTTGCATATACACAACTGTCACTCAGCGTCCAAGGCTCACAGTTTTCCTCACACATGGGACACATGATGGTAGTGTTGGCCTCGCAAATCTCTTTACTGGGGAGAGAGTAAACCAATAAATGCCATCATCAACCGACACGATGTTCGGACTTACATGGCATAGTTGTGTGAACTGACCTGATTTGGCTCGCGTCCATGGTTAAAAGACCATAGAGGAAGACAAAAACCCCAACCAGGGCAGCGGGGATTAACATGCCCGTGTACCAGCCCAACCACGCAAAGTACAGACCGATTTTCTCACCAAAGTATCGCCTGGGAGAGACACAAAAAAATAGAGTGGAGAAAATTCACCAATTAACTGTGACGACTTAATTAGACTTGACCGTGCCCGTTCAGCGTGGAGTTGTGGGCGTCAGTGGTGCACTGTGAGATGATCACAGCGGCTTAATGGATAGAAGGTTGAACGCTAAGGCTGGAAAATAATCGATGATCCCAGCAAGCTTAAGCAAGAGATTTATTTCAAAACTGCTCTCGTAAAGATCCAATACAGTGTAAAACCAAAAAACCTCTCCAAAGTACTTACTAGAACCTCGAAAACCTAATGACTTTCACGCTGTCTGTCACCTGTTTAATGCATACAAAGCTGTGAATGTGAAAATGACAAGGTGTGCTTCAGAGACAGTCATTTCAACTCCCTCTTGACAAGAAAGTGAAAATAATATTTCCCTAAATATGAAACCATTCCTTGCCACTCTCATGTTCCTCGTAATAAGATGGATATGACAGACTTGACAGATGGTGATGAAATGCAGAGCTACCAAGGAAGCCGGAAACTAAAGCGAGTTCATCATCAGCTGTTAAAATAGCTCCATCACTTCAGAAATAACAGACGTGCTGCGATGTCAAGGAGTTGTAGATGAGACTGCTCCTCGTGAGAAATCTGTGATCGTGCAGACTTCAAACTCCATTTAAACAACATATCTTGACTGTGATCAAAGAAAGGATCGGCAACATAATCAGGACGCGGTATCTCGCGTACGACGCACACACGTACACAATGTATGTGTACGAAAACAGCTCGTGATTTGTGTCACCTGCTTCAAAGCTGATTACCTGATGAGATCCAGAGGCTGGTATTTGTACCACATCCCCCAGCGGGCCCAGCGCTCATACAGAAGATGCCTGTGGTTCTGGGCACCGTGCGTCTTGATTGAATGTCTGCTCTTGTAACCGCCCTGATGAGACAAGAGAAGAAGAGTCTAGACTAAAAATTTTTTTTATATCCTTCAGATATAATCAGCCGATAAGAAACACAAAACATACCAGATTTGAATTTTCACACTATCCCCTGCATTGTTGTTTTTTGTGATGTAGTGAAGTACTACCAAAGCTACTCCTATATTTGCTGCCTTTCATGGAAAGTCAGGTTCTCTCCACCTGCACCTCTGTGAAGGGCACCGGAAGTCTTTCACAGTGTAAAAATGATGTACAGTACTGTGTAATAATCTTGAGCCGCACCTCATTTCTTTGCATTTCGATTCAGAGGTGCCAGACTTGCTCGTAATTTTGAAAGTGGTCTTGAGCAATTGTTTTCCAGGCTTTCTGAAGGTCGAAGGTTTTCTTTGTACATTATCTGCTTTTTCAAATATCTTCAGTCCAGTTTTCGTACCTGACTATTTTCAGAGGAATGTTTTGTTTGTTTTGTGTCTACATACAACAGCCAGTTAGCAAAGAACCAATTTCTTTAGGTCTCTTTGGTGAGCCACGTACTGTCCACAAAGGCCTCATCAAAATCAGTGTCAGTGTACAACACTTAGTGTCTACAGCTAATTGTAAACTGTGACGGAGGCTCTGTCTTGGTTTGGGGCTGCATTTCAAAATTGATGGATTTATGAACTCAAAAAGTATCATCAGATTTGATCCACCATGCAATACCATACGGAAAGCATCTTATTGGCAGCAGCTTCATTTTTCAGCACGACAATAGTTGTAAACATAGTGCCAATGCAGTAAAAGAATGCCTGGACAGAAAAACACACAATGTCTCACAAACTGTGTAGGATCACCTTTACTGAAAACAAAACAAAAGGCAGACAACATTCAAAGAAGAGATTTGAATGTGATCTGAAAAAAAATCTGTAGCAATATTCCTGAAGATGGGACAGCACGGTGGCAAGGTGCTGCCTCACAGTGGGTAGGTGCTGAGTTTAATTCCACCATCAGGCCAACGTCTCTCTGTGTGGAGTTTGCATGTTCTCCCCGTGTTTGCGTGGGCTCTCTCTGGGTACTCCACCTTCCTCCCACATTCTCTTGTCCAAAGTCAAGACATGCAGTTAGTGGGGTTAGGTTGACTGGTAACTCTAAATTGCCCATAGCTGTGAGTGTGAATGGTTGTTTGTCTCTATTTGTTGACCCTGCGACAGATGGGTGACCTGTCCAGTGTGTACCCTGCCTCTTGCCCTAAGACAGCTTAAGGCAAGAGGCCCTTTTCAGCCCCCCTGTGACCCTGAAAAGGATAAGCAGAAGAGAATGGATATTCCTAAAGATGACTTTATGGAAAAGTCATCTTCAGATAGAAATTCTAAGAAAGTTTGACTAAGAGAGTTCAAACTTTGAAGTAAAGGTGGTTATGCCAAATACATATATATATATATATGTATTTCTATGTATTATTGTGAGTACAAGAAAATAATTATTATAATATGATGTGTTAAATTTGTTTAGATCAGAGGAATAGGGAAGGATTTGTCTGCGTTTTAGTTTGGCTTAGCTGTAGGCCTGAGAGTGTGTATTTGTTTAGAGAAAAAGGAATTTATGGACACTGGGGGTCTGCCTGCCATAAAAGGAGACAGGAAGCTACAGTTGGGGATTGCTGATGCTGATGCTTGTACCTTTAATAAAACTCATAATTGTTATAAACTTAGAAGTAGGTTTGTAGGAGACTCTCCACCTTATCTGTAAATGTAAGACAACAAGAGGCCAATGGCCCATCTGACCCATGCAGAGTGGGGGTCTCAGTGTTTGTAATATGTTAACTCTGTTTTCTATGTTGTGTAGAGGAATTTGGTGTAGCTTGGGTGAGATTACTTTTATGACCCCCAGGAAGTCACGTACGCAGAGACACACACACACAGTGCTTAAACTGTTACACTCACACATCCACACGCACATTCACTCACGTGCACTCACATAGACATACAGGGTACACGCACACACAGGCACTCACGTGCTCGTGCATACACACAGACACAGAGTTTGCAGCACACCATGGGGGTTTTATGATGGGGTCACTTCTACAAAATTGTGTTTCACAGACAAAGGAGTGGAAGATCTGCAGAGGGACACCGGCCTTGCACGTCTTCCCTTCTAGAAGATGCATGCGTAAATGAAGATGAATAAAGATGAATAAAGGTTTTTGTGAAAATGACTACTGAGTCCGGTGCCGTCTCTGGATGCTTCGAGGAATAAAAAAGAACCGGGGTGAAACTGATTTTGTAACAATGTTTAAATAAAAATTAACTGCTTTTCACTTTCTTAGCAAAATTTAAAGAAGTGAGGGACTGAGCTCAAGATGTTTGCACAGCCTGTGCAAGCAATCTGAATTTAATTTTAGCCAAATCTGGGACTCGCGTCAGGGTTTGAATCCACCAGCCAGCCAGTCAGACAGCCAGGACATTTCTGTGTGTGTTTGCGTGTTCTACCTGGGCACACATTGGTTCTTTTCGGGTACTCCAGCTTCTTCCCAGAGTCCAAAGGATAAGTTAATTTCTGAATTAGCTTTTAGGTACAACCCTGAATTGGAACTGAACTGGAACTGAATTGGAGCCACAAGTTTAGGTTGTTTGCATTGATCATTCTCTCAGACACCTCAGTTGTAGAGCTCTGCATCGATAGTCTGACATCAAATGGTAAAATTGCAATTGTGAATATTCATGTAGTAAGTACAAGACCTGGCATGAGTATGCACAGTCTTATAGCAAGACTTCTGGATGAGGTGCATTACCTTGTGAGGAGCGAACTTGGACGAGAATAGCAGCCAAATTTATATCAGGTATCTCATTTGCTCTTTATGGATTTGTAATCAAACCACGTAGTTTAAAGACTTTCTCTCTCTTTGAATGAATGAATCAATGCAAAAGGTCTCTGAATGCCTTTAAAAACTCTGCATGAATAAAAATGTGATTACTCATATTAGTAATTTGTGAGTCTCAACATCTTTTCAGTAGGAATTAAAATCATCTCACCTCATGTGGAGGAAATGCAGCCTCATACGTATTGTTGCCCAATAGCCGGTTGATTCCTACAGTGGAATAAAGAACAAGGATGCCACATTAAAAATTTAAACCCACTTGTAATTGAGAGACAAATCCACAGAGTGGCTCATTAAAACCGTTATTTCTGCAGGACAAAAGCGCAATTATTGTCATCCATTTACTGAAACACCAGACAGTGCGATAAGGTGGAGTATGGATTTGAAAAGGGTTGCTCCATCTTGTGACTGAGCTGATCTGATTTCTTGGAAAGTAAAGTGGTCAAAGCTATTAAAATATTAACGTGAAACCCATTCCAAGATGCTGAGGCCAAACTTTAATCAGCAAATAATGTTGGCAGTAGACAGAGAAGATGCTGAGATAAAAAGAAAAAAAGAAAACCAATTGCCCAGAAGGAGAAGAGAGGAGAGATCAGACACAAATTAGACTGTACCACTTTTGCATCGGCAGCTCCCCCTATCACTCTGAAATCAAATTAACAGAAACTGACGTTTTCCCTTTTAAAATAAATGTAGGCTCCGTTCCTTTCTCAGTGGATAAATTGTCCTAAATGGATCATTAAGATGGTTATACGGAATGGCATTTGTGCGATGCTGCGGGAAACATTGTTCTGAACGTGAGGAGAAAGCACGGTGATTTACCCATCTTTGATTTTCCGTCCTCATACTTGGTGCGCTGCAGGACATGATGGACTATTCTACTTCTGGTAGAATTGGAGAAGAAGGTCTCTCTGTTGTTGATCGTGAAGCTGGGAGGAAATAACGGCACACTCCTTCAGTTATTCATAAAGCAACAGTGTATCAATATCACTCAGCAGAGGCCTTTAATGAGAGCTGAGTCGATAACGATGGGAGGTTATTAAAACACAATTTATGGTGCAAAGCTTGTATTCATCCCAACATTATTATCCCCTTTCCCCTTAAAAAAACGGCCCAGGCTGACAAGCTAAGGGAAAGTGGAAATGATTCACTGATAGACGAGATTAGATGATGCCTTTCATCACAGGGAAGTGTTGAAAATATGGAACAGCAAGCAAGTTATTTCACGCACATCTGCTGCTGTATTTCAATTTCTTATTTATGATCAACTTGTCTTTATCATCATGGCTCCCAAGTTCAAATGCAAAACTATAAAATATACAAGACTTTAAAGTGCAAACTTCATCGCGTGGTTTCTAAATTCCACATTAAGACTTCAGGACGTGAGTGGAAGTGATGGTTAAAAAGAGGGGTGGGGGGGCTAGGAATGCTGTTGCCCGGTAAAAACACTGTGATCCTGTTTGTGAGTCCTGGCATGCACGAGTGTGTATACATCCTCCTTACTGATGCATGCGTGCTCTGCTGAAGGGAGCTGTGTAGCAGTCGGTTTCCTCCAGGTCAGGCAAGGCCTCTTTGTCCAGCTTCATGGGATTTCTGGGAAGCCAGCTTTTGATTTGGCGACATCTCAGATGAAACCTGCTGCACAGGCGCACGCAGAGAAACGAGATTAACAGCACAGATTAAATGAAGATTGTTTACTTTGGTATGAGACGGAGTTCCCTGACCCTTTTCTCCGGACCTACCATGACGACTTCGCGCTAGCACAAAAAAGCATGTTTGCACACACATGTACATGCATTGCTGGACAGCACGTCTGATTATCTTTTTTCATTCTCATTTCCGTGAGCCCGAGAGAGACTGATCCAGGATAACAGCTAGCTTAATCCAAATCATAGCATCACTATATTTTAGCTTATGCTAACAAACACCTACCCAAGTCAATTGAAAAAGGAAAGTTTTTGTTGAACTCCATGCGGTCTCTATACACACAAACTTTTTTTTTTATTGTTTATTTCATGCCAAATGTTTTCATTTGGTGAAAGGTGTAGGCCATTACATTTTACAGCGTCCACAACCCCCTTTAGCAGCAATAACGTGAAGCAATCATTTTCTATATGACTTTATAAGTGTCTCACTTATAAAGAATTTTAACCTACTCTTCTTTAAAACGTTACTTTACTTCATTGAGGTTTGCATGCAGCTAAAGCATTTCAGTTTGGTTGAGCTCTGAACTTTGGGTCATTGCAGCTCCTTGATTGTTTTCTTTTTCAGCAATTCTGTTGTAGCTTTGCTGCTGTGCTTGGCATCATTGTCTTGGTGTATGACCCAGTTTCAGGCCAAGCTTTAGCTGTTGGGCAGATGGCCTAACATTTGACTCTATAATACACTGATATACAGCGGAGCTCATACTCGACTAAATGACTAAGCTGCCCAGGTCCTGTGGCTGCAAAACAAGCCCAAATCAACTGTTCCACTGTGTATTATGCCAAACATCTCCAATGTGGTCCAAAGGACACTGCAAATCTAAGCTGGGCTGTCAGAGAGATGAGGTTTTCCTGGGTATCTAATTGCAGACATCTGGCACCAACTTAGCCTCTGAATTCCTATAGAAGTAGTAAGTAGTAGGGCGATCGTGGCTCAAGAGTTGGGAGTTTGCCTTGTAATCGGAAGGTTGCCGGTTCGAGCCCCGGCTCGGACAGTCTCGGTCGTTGTGTCCTTGGGCAAGACACTTCACCTACCGCCTACTGGTGTTGGCCAGAAGGGCCGATGGCGCGATATGGCAGCCTGACTTCTGTCAGTCTGCCCCAGGGCAACTGTAGCTTGCCTCCACCAGTGTGTGAATGTGTGTGTGAATGGGTGAATGACTGGGTGTGTAAAGTGCTTTGGGGTCCCTAGGGGGGGGACTAGTAAAAGCGCTATACAAATACAGGCCATTTAAATGTGCACTAGTGTCTATCTGTATGACTGTGCCATATATACATATATTCACCATTCAGGAATAACCAAATGTATAGTATTACGTTAGCACTGAACCCAGTTCCAAGTATGGTCATTTGTGGCGCCCAAAAAAAGAGAGTTTAAAACAGAATTTAACAAACTGGGTGATACTGTTGGACATCTTTTATATCCTGTCTGAGTTTTACATTGCACACTATCTAATTTTAGGACATTAACTTGTCATAAAAAAAATACAGTGAAGCATTAATTTTCAGATATTTAGTCAATAACAAGTTAACTGAATTATCATTTTCATCAATGCAAAGAGTACATTTGAAGATATTTCAAAGTATAAAAAGGTGAAAATCTCAGAGCTGCTGCCGATGCCTTGGTCTGTATAAATGTAAAAATTTGCATATAAAATTTAACTGTAGTCGACTCACAATTATAAAGAAATTTAAGTTAAAATCTAATAAATTGAAACCTAATGGTGATGACATAAGTAGTAAGAAGCTGCAAAAAGAAACAGATGTAAGGATCTAAGGGTAGAGAGGACATCACAGTTTTTGATACCGGGCTTTATTAATAAAATGTATCTGACTTTAATATCAGTCCCAGCAGGAATTATCCTCAGGCAGCCATCAGTTTCTGTACAAAATGTCCTGACAATCCTTCAGTCTGGACAAGTGTTTGATCAGCCTTCAGACAGACACTCTTTCAGTGACTCTGCTATGCAGCTAAAAATCTGCTCGCTTGGCAATGCATCCTTCTCCAGATTTGTTGGAGAGGCCTCCAGTAATTTGTGAGGCTGCTGTTCTTGTATGCATTAAATAAATACAAATAGCAATTCTGCTGCAAAACGTACTTGCTGACAGATAGTGTTTAATGTGTTGTTATGAAGGCTCCAGGTACTGTATGTAAAGATACTGATATCAAACCAACAAGCAGTCGCCACAGCCCATTTGTTCGGCATTACAGAAATGTGAGTTAGAGACAAACCATTAGTTAACACATAAAGCTCATTTACTGCTCGGGTAGATTTTTCTTTTAAGAACAACAGCTTAGCGAAAGCCTGCAGGAGCGCTGAGGAAAACATAATGATCCTCATTCTTCACAATGACTAAGATCGCTCTCACACAAGATTTAATTTAGTTCCCTGAAGTGCTTTGTTCTCAGTTGGACAGGTGGGCGAGTGATTTTTGTCTGTCCGTGTGATATTGTCTGATTTTTGTGCGTGCGGTTAGTGTGTATACACGGTATGTGAAAGCGTAACAAAACAAGCCTGCAGTTATCAGAGTACGGTCAACCTCTTTAATTTTCTACTGACTACAGTCTGTCCATCATGTGTCATTGTGTTAGTTTATGGCTACAACGCAGTCGGCATTTAAGTAGAATAAAACACTAAAGTGGGCACTTATACTGCAGTTAGTGTGTCAGGTCCACTTAGCCTTGTTCAGCTATGCTAATAAGCTGTGTTCAAAACAGCAAAACAACAGCAACGACAACACTCCCAGGATGTTCATAGTTTAATGGATTGAAGCGAACAGTCCTCCACCACCAGCAGTATCACACTTCACTAAATGTTACCTTTACAGAGCTTAACAAAGGCCCTTTCATAGCTCAGACATTAAGTGTCCACTTTGCTGTTGCTCAAGTATCATTTTAGTTCTTTCTCATCAAGTGAGTAAAGCCATTGAAAAAATAGCTTTCAAATTTTATGCATTTCTCCATAATGTTAAATAATTATAACAAATAAGCCATGACTAAAGTTATCAAACATTTTGCTGCATGAGTGAGTATATATTTTAAAGGAAATATTGTAAATCAATATATTTGACCATCAGTTGAGAATCATTTGCATTTAATGAAAACTATGGCTGTGCACGACTCATTCACGAGTGATTAACCACATACTGATGATCTATCCAGCAATTTGATGCGACCTTTACATGACTGGGAAAATAAGTTTGGTGTACAAAAATCTAAGAACCAGGTGTTTTGATTTTTAGTATGGTGGTTTTTAAAACAGTGTTCTACCACATTTTCTTTCAGTTTCTGGTTATTTCTGTCTGCTTTCCAGTGAGAAGAGGAAATGGAAATTTGGAGTTCTTCACAGAACTTGGACAACACTTGAACGCCACATCAAAGCGCAAATGCGGCTCTCTAAAAATAGCATGCAAATAAGTCTGTGGGGCTCCATTTTATCTTTTATGAAGAGTATTTTATAGAAAAGCAGTCAGAACTGGGTGAGCTGCTTTACTGGACCTTTAAAAACGTGCTGTATCGTAAACTCATTATTTTTTAAATAAATAAAAAAGGCCATGTATTTGGAAAACCCTGAAAAATTAAGTACCGCACTTAATCAGTTAAGAATAGTAGTTGATATTGTTAATTATTGTTAAAAGCTTTCCTTTTCAATTATTTATTGCAACTCATCTTTACTGCATACCTGCCAACTTTAAAATTCCAATGTTTATAAATACTCTATATGTACAGTACACTCAACTTTCACATACTTTATCACTATGAGGGCTGCAAAAGGACAAAAACAGGCTTACTCAATCTTCCACCGTCTCTGTTCCTCACAGACTCATAAATTCAGTCCATCATCCAACTTACTACTGAATCCCCCAGACACACCTATGCCTATGGATTTGATTAGAGACACCGATGTATTCAGAGTAAATTATTCCTTAAATCGACTTACCTGCCCAAGGTTTTGCTCTTCCAGTCTGTAAAGTAGCATTTTTTTCTTTAATAACAGACAAGAATATAGGTTAGAAAGACTGTGTAAAGTTGCTTGTGGCTTAAAAAACAACAACAAAAAGATCTACTTTTATGTTTTTTCAGAGTTAAAAGGTTCATTCTTTATTTACCTGAAAGGCATTCGGATATTCATCTGCTCAGCGTACTTGCAAAGCGTGTCCCAGGTAGCATGGATCTTCACAAACATGATGTCGTTGTTCGTCAAGGAAGGCTTTCGAAACAAAAAAGGAGTGCAGGGAACTGAGAACAAGGGAGATTTAAGTAAATAATAAAGCAACTAAAAGTCTCCCAGGTATATTTACCTCTTTCTCCAGCATCAAACCTTCAGCTCGTAAATTCTTTTCAAACGTGCACCGCTTCTCCACCTGTGGACTCGACTTCTTATAAACCAGGATGTAGTCGATGCGCTTTTTACCATCTCGGAAAAAGAGCCCGGATGAATCCGTTGGTTTCTTTCTCTGGAACAACAAAGTTTTATCCAACACAAAGGACTGCTTCTCAGTGTGCTAATGCCAAAATAACTTGGAACATCATCAGTTTACATTTTGTGATGATTCAGGTGGATCAGTGAAAGTGTGTTACCTGAACTGAATCTGTGCGGGCCTCTAATTTAGCACGGGTGACAGGCTTTTGCAGCAGAAATGACTCGTCTGCCCTCGTTTCACACGTACTCACTTCAGACTCCTCCACAAAGTGATCCTTGCCATCCTCTGCTGCACACAAGTCACAGCAGGACCAATAAAAACACTACTGAACTGGTAAGAAACAACTAAGAGTACCTGAAGTGCAATAGGTCTTTGTTCTTGCTAAAGTCAATATTCTCCCTAATCTGGCTGCCAACGCTGACATTAGATTTTTATTTCGCTAAGAGCTAACTCATTTAAACGTGGGTGTCAGGTTGAAAACAGGTTGATGCAATTTAACAGATCCGAGCACCGACGTTTAAAAAGCCCCAATCTTATTTCCTGCCTTGATATGTGCAAACCAAATAACATTTTGTCCAGCCCACACAATATAAACAGTAAATATTGTGCCATAAATTCATTTTCTAAATGTCCCAGCATTGCTTTTTTTTTTTGCCTTGCTGATTATTCCTCTGCAGCAAAATGTGTGTTAGCTTTTCAGCTCACCATTTTATGAGGGCAAATGTGTTTGCTGTGCAAAACAAAATGATTTATTAGTCTCAAGAAATACTTGGTGTGTGGGTTGTTATGACACAATCTAAACTTCATAATACAAGCTCTGTAATTGCGTGGCATGGGAGATGAGGCATTTCACAGCACAGCAAAGCACAAGTTATACTTTCTCAGGTACATGTGACAGCTCATTAGCTAATTTCTTCAGGCAGCTGTATCCTTACCTCCTTATCAGTGTAGTGTATTGTTTGATACTGATGTGCAGAAACCAAGTATAAGAAATCCATATTAACCCTTGTATGGTGTTCGGGTCTGTGAGACCCGTGTTCAGTTTTTTTTCAAAAGAAAAATTAAACAATTAATTATTTTTTTCACGTGTAAATGTGTTGTGTCTTTCCACTCACTCCACTTGATTATAACTGATTTATTTATAACATTTTATATAAAAGAAAAACGAGAAGCACATTAATTCATAAATGTGATCTAACAAAGGTAAAGGGAAAAAATTAACCATGTTTGCTGTTCATATGTCTTGTAATTGGGATGAAGTAAACATCTGTTGAGTAATTTAACATAAAATTGTTTGATAGTGTTAATTTGGAAAGCCAAAACTCTAGCGGGTCCACCAGACCCATGAACACTGGCTGAGTAACAAAAATACGAACACCACACAAGGGTTAAGAGAAGCAATGCTGCTGTATGGGTTCTACTTCTTTTTCTGTAGCTAACCTTGCTCCTGTGACCTGGAGTTTTCGTCTGGATTTCTAGAGCGATCAGAATGAGCCAAAATTTCAGTGTTTGGGAAAAAAAAGCAGCATAGGGTTCATTTATACGTGCTGTGGCTAACAACCTCCACATGTTTTCAGCTCGCCTTCACATGTGTCAGATGTCGAATGCAGGGAGGTTATGGAAGGAAATATCTGTTCCCCAGCACAAACAGGATGAAACTATAATAGTATTAAAGCATTTCTTCCCAAGTCTACAAATCTAGTCCAGAAAGAGGAGCTAAATTGACAACCTTCTTTACACCTACTGGTGTACACAGTTTGTATACAGTTTGTTTTAATTCTCTATTTATACTCACTTTATTAGGTACACCCGCTCAACTGCTTGTTAATGAAGTGGGGCAGGTGTAGAGTGTGCCTTCTGCTGAAGTTCAAACCAAATAACAGAGGGAGGAAAGGTGATTTGAATGTGGCATGGTTGTTGGTGCCAGACAAGGTGGGTTGAGTATTTCACAAAAAGCTGATCTAATGGGATTTTCACATACAGTTGTCTCCAGGGTTTACAGAAAATGGACCGAAAGAGAGAAAATATTCAGTGAGCAGCAGTTCTCTGGGTGGTGATGACAGAAGAGAATAGCCAGACTGTTTTGAGCTAACAGGAAGGCAACAATACCTGACATAGCCACTTGTTACAATCAATGTATGCAGAACATCTCTGAACACAGAGAAGCAGATGGACAACACAGAAAGTCACTGTTGTCAGCTAACAACAGGGAACCAAGGATATAGCTTGCACAGCCTCACCAAACGTGCACAAGAGAAGACTCGAACAACATTGCTTGATTTGATGAGTTTCAATTTCTGCAGGAGTGTTGGGAAGGTAGGCTCTGAATTTATCATAAACAACATGAAAGCATGGATCCATTCTGCCTTAAATCAGTAGTTCACGCTCATGGTGGCATAATTTTGTGGCACACTTTAGGCTCCCTTAGTACCGACTGAGCATTGTTTAACCACCACAGCCTGCCCTTTATGACCACAGTGGATAAATCTTCTGATAGATGCTTCCACCAGGACAACACATCATGTCACAAAACTCAAATAACCTCAAATTGGTACAACGAGTTCACTGTGCTCAAAACGCACCTTTACGAATATACGCAATAATGAATTAAGGAAGCTCTGAAGGAAAAAGGGGGTCCACACTCAGTACTTTGTAAGATGTACCTAACAAAGCAGCTAGTTTAAAGTTTCCCCACAATTAAAGTTAATATTTGTAGTTTTTTTATCATTTAGAAATAAAAGTATTGTGTTGAAAAATGACTGGCGTCTGGCTAATATTTGGTAGTAAAACAAATCCGAAAGGAGACGAGATGTCCAATTACACTGTGAAACTAATATGAATATTTGAAGCTGATCAGTTGCGATGATTCATGAAGAGGCTCAGAAGTAAAAAGCGAGCGGATTTATCTATTTTATTTCACATCTGGAAAAAATATCATTATAATACAGATGAGCAGAAATACTTGCTACTTAATGTGATGTTAACTGTCAAAACCTTTTTATCTTTAAGGGGGACCGGTTATGTTTCTCCCTGTTTTCTGTCAGGTGTACTGTTACGGGGGAAGAGAGGTAAAATAGCTTCTTTCTGTGAGTGTATTAACTGAGGTGTTGCACCAAGAACCAGTCTGAGATAAGTAAGGATTACTTTGGACTGTTAATAATGCGGAGTAGAGTCAAACAATAGACTTAATGTAGAAAAGCCAGTGTGTTAGTGTGAACTACATTACCCAGTGGCCTCTGGGCAGTGATGGGATTCATGGGATTTCTGAGCTAGATGGTCTTCGTTCGTTCCTGGGCTAACGATTGAGGAGAGAGCTGCTGGGAAGGAAAGCAAATAGCCCATCCTGTATTTGTTGGGGATGGTGTGCGTCACATAAACAAACCACACCATATTACCCCCCCACATCCTCCTACTGTATGCCATACCTCCCTGTACCATCCATCTGACCGCCAATAAACTCCACCTGCGGTAATCTAATCCCTGGATGTCAGCCTCTCCTTCTGACCGAGGATAGTTACTATTGCAGCACCACCCAGCATTAAACTGACGTACACCATTCTGTACAAAGTGGATAGCCCGCCTTCTCCAGTTTTCATAGCCGACGCTCATTGGCCCTCAGAAGAGCCATGACAGCCTCTTCAGGTGCCTTCACCTGAGGAAACTCTGTGCGGCGAAGCAAGGGAGTAGCATATCGGTGGACTCCCTCCACCTGTATGCGGACTGTCCCTGATTCAAGGATGTCGATTGCCTGCTGGTCTTCCTTTGACCTGGTGACCTCCTTTTCATTCCTAAACAGGAGGACATCAAGCTGCCATAGCCTCTCAACATCTTTGGAGAGCTCTGAAGTCTGTGGGATGAATGATGAGTGCAAGCATGCCTGTCCAGCGGCTGGATGAGGAAGACTCTTGGCAGGTCCCTGCAGCATCAACCCCAGCTCTGTGCAGACTGCTACTGGCCCTCCAGGTGGTCCACGAAGCACCGGGTATACTGGAGTGATAACGTGCGGGTGATCTGATCTAATCAGGATTATAGGTTTCACCTTGCTGAAACCTGTGAGGGGAAGTCTTTGTAGGTGACTGTACTTCCTTTTGAGTGTTTCCACTGGGCTAGATTGCTCCGCCTGAACCAGTTGTTCTGTTGTGAATGCATTTAGTATTTGATGCCTCACCTTCAGCTTAGCTTTAGTGGACACCTCCAATGATATGCTTCCCCCATGCAGCTGCAGGACATCCTGTCTGATGGTTTGGAGGGCCAGAGCCTCATCTGTCGGGGCTAGGCCGAGGAACTTCACAGCAACTGGCAATATTATGGTTCTCTCTGAACCGTCATCCAGCACAGCATAGGTGTCCATGGTTTTCTTCCCATTGCGGACCTGAACTCTTACCACCTTCAACATCACTCTCCCAGAGTGACTGGGATGGTCAACATAGATGACACTGGATGCTGTGCACATGGTCAGGATACTGGGGTTCTGCTCTTTAGCCTTGGCGAGGCCATGTAATACAAGGAGGTGTTGCTCACCACAGGTGCTGCAGGGTTTCTTGAGCGTGCAGTTGTCAGCAGAATGGTTCCGGCCACACCTCCAACATTTATTCTTATCTCTGATCCAGTCCAAACCGCAGCCACATCCAGCCGGGAGAACTCATTACATCCACTCCAGTAATGCTCTGTCCCTTCACAGAAAGGGTAGTAAGGCTTGAAACGTTCTCTTTTCTTCTGCATCGCAACAGCCTTTGGACCTGGATGGGCCACAGCAGGTGGTTTGGTGGCTGTGGTTTCAGGTCCATAATAAACAGAGGCCAACTTGGGTTTGCACAGGATATCGCTGAGTTCACTCTGTACCAGTTGTCTTGGTTGACCATACTTCTGCTCAAGAGCCCTCATTGCACTAGTATATGGAGTTGGGTCATGGATGTAGCATTTAGTCACTTGGAATGCACTTGGGAACTTCAAGTGATCTAGCAAGATCTGATACTTATAATCCTCGGACAAGTGCTTGTGAGGCCCAAGAACACTATCCAGTCCTTTCTTCAGTAAGGCAAAGTCACTCTCCTTCCCAGAACTGAAAACAGTGAGCTTGGGCTTAGGGAGGCCATAGAATAATGCAATCAACATTTCCAACATACTGGGTTCTGAACTCACGTGGTTTGCTGCTGGGGGCATACCTGGCTGAGGTCTAAGCTCCTGTGCAGATAGCACAGGTTGGAATGAAGCATAACGAGGCTGTTGAGGAAGAGGGAGAAGTGGTGGGATCCATGGCTGGAAACCCTGAGTGAAGTCCTCCTTTGCATTAGAAGGTTGCATAGTGGCCGCCTGAACCACTAAGGGAGGGTCTGGTTGAGGTGTCTGCGATGGCACGGGAGGCCCAGACATCTGTATTTCCTGTGGAGCTACAGCTCTGGCTACAGCAGGTGGAGCAGGAGTTGCTGGATGCACCGGTCTGAGAAGATAGTCAGGACATGGTGAAGTGAATCTCGGGGCAGACGCTGATCTATCCATAGAGAGCACTGTGGGTGGCCCAACGTGTGCAGTGGAAGTGCCAGGGACTGGGGCTAAAGGAGCTGACATCACACGGACGGGCCCTGTACTTCTCTCCCCCTCCTGAATTGATTTAGGCTCCCTTGCTGTAGGATTTTGTGTAGAGACAGCTGAAGCCATTGGTTCCACCTCCATTAATGTCCCCTTTGGCACTGGAGAGGTGAGCTGCTCTAGTCGCTGCACACGTTTGTTAAGGTCGCGGGACTTTGCTAAAGTCACTTGCAGAGATCGCATCTGATGCTGGATATTAATCAGACAATCCTCCATTCTTCGCCATCTTATCTCCTCCACATCCGGCCTCCTTGTGTAGTGGGAGTCTGACGGTGCCATCATAACCTCCTCTGTTAGATTGGGTGACAGCCTTGGCCCACGGGTATGGTAGGACAACTCATAGTCCACCAGATGTCCAGGGATTCGATGGATCCTGCTAGGACTGGGACTTCGTGCATCATCCTGCTCTCTGGAGGCAGCCATGTCATGCAGGTGCGGCATATCCGGCTCGAAGGACCAAAGTGGCTCACCACAGGTGCTGCAGGGTTTCTTGAGCGTGCAGTTGTCACCATTCTGTACACGTAAGGAGGTGGAATAATGAGCAGAATGTGTCCCTTTAAGGTGAAGTGTGATCTAATTGTCTTTATATAATGTGGGCACTGTTCAAGTTCTCATTCAAATAAAAATTGTGTGGATTTTTATGCCTGTAGTTCCTGTTTCAAGGTGCGATAAAATGATAACAATAGCAGTAAAATATAACCCGCTGTACATTTTCAGTTCTCTAGCAGTTTGTCTTCCAGCTTGAGAACCACTGAAAAACATCTGTCACTTTCCACAGGTGGGAAACTGTTGATGGATGATCTTCCTTGTTTACCAGCTCCTGCTTTTTGCTCTGTCTACACTCTCTCCTTCTGTCTGCACTCTGAGCCAAAAAGGAAAAAAAAAAAATTCAGACCTGCTCCTCACACGAAGAGACTGTTTACACCAGAATAGAAACACCTCGTGCAGACAGTGTGTAATTCTTATATCAAGTCCCACTTTTGCACACTGCACTCCGCACCAAAATAACAAGTATGCAGACAAAGGGCATTTCAAGGTCAGGAAAATACCAATATGCTGAAGTGCTGCATGCACTAGTTTTCATGCTGTGAAAAAAATAGCACTCTCACCGTCTGTGGCCTCTAAATATTCTTGAAGCTGTTAATGAGACCGAGTAATTTTCGTCTCCAGCAGGCACATCCGTGGTACTGGCCCATAACAATAATATACTGTATTTATATTACCAGCGTTTTCCCATGCTATCGCATTCCCTCGGAACGTGCTCCCAGCAGCTGCGACTTTGCGCAGTGTTTTCTAAATCCCCTGCAGCATTAACACAATCTGTTCCATCAATATTACACACAAACCTTAAGTACCACCATCAATATAAAAATCCGTGTAGTGACCAGCTCAATTCCTGTTGAACCTAAAGTTCAATACAATCAGTCCACAGGACAGAGAAAATAATTAAACATGCCATTCAGACAATGAAAGGCGATAATGGTGAAAACATTTCAGAGGCTTTTGTTTTTTTGGAAATATTATACAACCTGTGATGTATACAACACAATTACTTCACAGAAAACACTTACACTGGGGGAAATAATTCTTTAGGAAGAGCAATGCTGAGTATAAACCCAAAGAACACTATCCCCATCAAGCATGGAGATGTAAACGTTATGTTTTTGGGCCGTTCTTGTGCTAGAGTACGTGATAACTGTACGTCACTGTGGGGCCATTAGACGGGGCCATGTACCATAAAATCCTGGAAGAGAACCTCCTTCCCTCAGCCAGAACTCTTGGTCTTCTAGCACGACAGTGATCCAAAACATGCAATCATACCACCAAAAAACAAACGAGTGACTAAAGAAGAAGCACATTAACCGGATCAAGAAATTATTTCCTCCACTGTATATTTATTAGGAGGCCCTGCAGACCATGATTGCTGTGGATCTTTAAAAAAATTAAAATAAAAAATAAAGCTTCGTCAACAAAAACAAGAATTTCTTATTTCAAGTTATTTTTTTTTATTTATTTCTTTTTGGCCAGCAAAGAACAGCAGAAGTCACAAATTAAAAGCAAACAAGACACAGTGATTAAACCTACAGTTGTATGATATTGTAATGCTAAAGTGTGCACATACTTTCATGGTGAGCTTCAATATCTCGCAAGATCAATTTAAATTGATGTAGGCGCTCTCTAATAACTGAAGCATCTCGTCCACTAATGAGTATAGAAAACATGTGAGTTACTGACAGCGGACTGACCTGTCTGTGGGGGGAGGAGGCTGCAGGAAGTGCTGATGCTCTGACTCAGACCCTCAACCTCTGGTTTAGGCTCCGGGCTCAGAGGCACAGACAGGAAGTGGTTGAGGTTGGTTGGATGAGTCTGACTCTGGGCCAGGCAGGGCAGACTGCGGCGAGATGGCTTTAGGCTCTTCTCCTTCAGGATCTCGCTGATGCTTGTGTGCATGCCTGAGGAAAAAGAAACGGAGGAAAAGTTCATGCCAATAGTTGCTTAAAAGAAAGAAGAGCAGTCAGAAATCTCTCAAGCCTAAAAAAATTCCATGCATGAGTTTTTCAGAATAGCTCATGGAGAAAAAGAAAGTGTTTTATACACTTAGTTTTATGTCATATTGTACAATTTATACACAGATCCACTGTGAAATTTATATTTCTATATACGGCAAATAGAATAATACAAATATGTTTTAATCAGATGCACTTGCATTAAAGGATGGATTGGCTTTGGCTGCGCTCGTTGATGAAGCTCTCAAAGAGACATCAAAAAAACAAAAATTATGCAGAGAGAACTACTCACCACTACATCAGCACTTCATTATAAGTCAGCAATACTACAAAAGTGGTACTCTAAAGTCCATGTGGTATGTGATGGTTACACGTATTACCACGAAAGTCTCTGAAAATAATCAGGGAAGAGGTCTGCTCACAACTCACACCGTTAGATTACATGTTGACAGCTGGTAGCATAGTAGCTAATGAATGAGAAAGTGATAAGAAAATATGAAAGGCGCACCGCTCAACAGAAAGTAAGCTTACTTGTTATGGCTAAGTGGACAACAGTCATGTAATGCTGTTCTCCAATTTCAATGCTTGTACAACATTGTGGAAATCACCACAATGATGGCATTTCAGTTTGGACATTTGATGTTGCATCAGTTTGGATAATTCTTTAATAAATCCAGCTCTTCTGGGTCAGCCAGTTTTATATAATATAATAAACACCGCATGACTGGATTATCTCTTCAATAAAGCAGCTGAAGTCAATAAACAGTAAAATAACACCCCTGGTAAGATGTTAAAGTAAGAAGAACTTGACATGCTGTACATCAATTATAGCATTAATGAGTTTCTTTCCGCTGTTTCCTATCAGGTTTCCATCCATTTTCTTAATCATTTATCCAACCAGGGTCACAGTGGGGCTGAAATCTATCCCAGCTGACATTAGGCAAGATGTAGGGTTACACCTTTAACAGCTACATCACATGACTAACAGCCCAATTCAGAATCAACATTTAATTAAAGTGTTTGTCTCTGGACTGTGGGAGGAAACCAGAGCACCCATAGAAAAGCAACACCAACACAAACATGCAAACTCCCCATGGAAAGCAGATCATGAATCATCACTGAGGCAACACGAGAGTTAGTCAACCTGCTACAAGTTTATTTAAAATATTCATCTTATCATTTTACTTCCTTGCTTGTATCTGCTTTGCATTCACCATTTTTATATTTGCTTGTATCTTACAAAACAGCATATATGACCAGTAATAATAACAACAAAACATTAAAAAAAAAAAACTGAGCGCCCTGAAATCATGAGAGGGGATGAAAAAAAAAAAAACCAAAAGAAAGGCAAAATCTCTGTCAAAAGGTCCACTTTTTTTATGGGCTCCACTGATAATGTCTGTCCTTCATAGTGCATTAAAACCATCAGCACTCCCTCATTTCCATCAAATGACGCACTCCAGTACCTCGAGACCAGCAGTGCCTTAGCACTCCAACCGCCTGAACAAATAAACATTTAATAACATTAACTTGTTCTACACCCCGATTAGCTTTGCGCTAACAGAATATTCATCACTGTGACGATGAACTGTAAAGAGAGAAGTTAATGAGAATAATGAATTACCATCAGTTGAAACAGAACACTGTAAATGACCTTCAGCCTCAGCTCTGCAGCTCCTGACTTATTTATTAACAAAATTAAGGCGTTGTCTTTAGACGGGAACGTGACTTCTTTTCACATCCAGTGATTCTTCTTTTTTATACTAAGTTAATATACTGTGTTGTGTTGTTTGTTACGTTGTGATGTGTCATATCGTGTCGTGTTGTGTTATATGTAGTGCCGACGTAGGACAGTTTTTCCAATTTCATTGTACTACTGTACTATGTATGACTGTGCAATGACAATAAAGAGTTATCTTATCTTATCTTATGAATTCACTCACTGACCTTCCTGAAACATTCAAGTGAAACATGAATTGATCATTTACTCTCTGTACAGTGAGGGCCCGAGCTGCAAGCTGTTCAATAATTCATTTTCATGACATTGAGCTGAATGGGTTTGTCATGGGGAGGCCCTGTAAATTAAAGAGGACGTGGCACGCAGTGTTCGTCGACCGCAGTCATCCTCATCCTTCCATCGTGCTGCAGGTTAAGCATTTAAACCTGTGAGTGTTATGCTGAACACAGGGTCATATATGAGATCTTGAAGAAGATTTTAATTCATTTTCGTGTTTCTCACCTGTTTTCTAGGCCGCACTTTCTCTGGTTTAAAAGCAGGAAGGACCAAACTGACCCCCATGTGGTGTGGGCTTTCCTTGATGACATAACGAGGAGGAAAGCTTGGAGGCAGCTGGAGACCAAGTTTCCACTATTAGCATGCTTAGTATTGTTTAAATATAGTCTGTTAATGAAAGAGCACCGCTTTAAGTTAATTGATTCTTTTTTTCTTCTGGACTGGTCTGCACAATCTTAATAAACAGATATTTACATGCGAATATGCAGAATTTACAAGATGCTTGGTATCAGACCTGGTTTCTGTTTAGAGTCTGCTTGTAGACTAAATTTAAATCAGTGATGAGGTTTAAGAAGGATTTACTTGTAGTTTTTATGGATGAAATAGAAAAATGTAGGAGTGTAAAAAATAAAACGTTTGAATGGATTATTCAGAGTTTGGACTGAAGCGAGTTATGTAGAAAGCAAAAGAGGGATTGAATTTGCTGATATACAATCTGAAATCCATTTGCTGCTGCATGACAACAGTTTCGCCTCTTATAAGATTTTTGAAATCATCTGCATTTGTAAACAATGACTAATGCACGCGGCAGGATGTCTTGAGCCAGACATCCATTTTTTAACTATCTGGAGATATGCTGGCAACACTGGAGTCTGAAAAATTTGCCTTTGCCCCGTAGGCTAAGGCAGCAGACTGCTTTATATAAACAAGGGTCATTTTGGTAAATCAGGCCACAGTGGCTGCTCTACCAAGGGCCCAACTTTAAAAGGTTATAGCCCGGTGCAAAGTTGTATGTTATAGTTTCTCCTTTTAAAGTTTAAAGCATCCTGTTGCTCTTCATTTTTTACAGTTAATGAATTTAACTGTAAATGTGCAGCATTAATCCCCAGCTCCAAAGACAAAGGGAAAATAAAACAAAAATGCAAGCTTCGAATCGGAAACAACTTAATGACCCCTGATGCTTTTAACATTCAGCCAACCATCACGGGATCTTTCAGCACTGAGTGAGAATAAAGCCAGTTTAATATGCAAGCTTGTCGGCCAATCATGGTGTTCGTTCCCCCAATAACCCCGCAGATATGAAATGAATGAAAGTCGTAAGCTCTAGCTAACATCTACAATGAATTATTAAAGTGAAAAACTTCAATGCATTAAAGAAAAATTGTGCTTACAGCTTAAAATCCACTCCATTCAAGAGCGGGGATTTAAAAATAACTCTGAATGGTCAGCAAAAACACGACATGGGGGCTGGAAATTATTTTTTTGTTTTCATCATGTAATTTGTCCTCAGGCTCATAACAACATGGGATCACAAAGGTTCCTCCTTGGCACGCTTAACGTTTCAGTCAGTTTCATCAGAGGCATTATCAGAGAGAGTCATTACATGCAGAGACTGAAATCTGTGGGATAAATCAATTCAAAAGACAATTGTAGAGGCACAACTTCCAAGTTTTAAAACATTATTTTGGGGAAAAGTTTTCAAACTTTTTAAGTGTCAGATATGACTGGTGATCCTATACAAGTTGTCCCAGTGGCCACTAAAAGGCAATGCTTCAAAATAACTGAGCAACTAAGTTCCCAGAGGCATTTCAAGATGGCAAGACTAGTGACAAGACTTGTTTCTGGAAGGACTTTTGATATTTCTAATCAACTCAGAGCTGTAGGTTGTCAAGCACTTTTTTCTGTGGGGAGACTTCTTGTGACAATTACATCTGCACTAACATTTAAAAAGAAAACAGAGCTTTTACGGTCCGGTTAGCAAAAAGGCTCAGCGCGTGTTTTGCTTTATGACTGGAGTAAATCATTGAGAGCTTAAGTGGCTAGAGGCCTAAAGTGTACTGGTCACAGTGGATTAGATTAAAGAGTGGCTGTATCCTTATACAATGTAACTGTCCAATAAGCTGACTCTGTGTTGAATCGCTTATGTTTATGCATAAAGGTTAAAAAAGTCAAACAATGTCCCGATTATTTTAAAAGACAGCAGCAAGACTCAACATGTCTGAGATGATACGTCAGAGCAAAGTGAGCTAATTGGTCTGCGGGGGCACTGCTTGGTGGTCTCGATGGGTCCTCAAAGTTTAAAATAGACCCACAAATTGGAGTTGGTGTTGTGTGAAATTGCTTCTGTGGAAATTGAGATGATTTAGAGATGATAAAAGCACCATTCAAATCAGACTCTGTGGATATTAGGGATATGATAATAGTTATCTGACAATCACTGGCCTGATCAATAATATTGGCCCAATTTTGTCATGCACGATGAATCTATGTACTCTGTTGTCAGAGCATCTGAAGACGGTGCACTGTGTAAGACATAAATATAAAAGGGGTTCATCTAGTAATGCTTAATCTCGCTGTGTTCTGGCTTAAACTGGTTTGTGAGGAGAAAGTTAATCCCATGTGCATGCTCAGACTGTGCGTGCATGTGTGCACGTCCGAGTTTTGTACGGGACTCGCCCACTATTCAGAGAAAAAGACGCTCGCTGTGAGGTGATAAGGTTAAAAAACACCTCCAAATTCTCTCTGCATCAGCATACAACAAAGTCTCTAAGACAGTTTCTGTGCACTCTCGCAAACACCCACTCAGGCTCATCTGACGTGAAGCTGGACGAGCTTCAGGGAGGGTCGTGATCTGGGATTTGGATCTCTCCTGTGCAGCTTGTCCATGACGGTCTTTTAATGTGAGATTAAAAGGATTTTTCAGGTCTGTCCA